AAGTTTAGTAAAAAAAGTTTAATAAAAAAAGTTTAGTAAAAAAAGTTTAATAAAAAAAGTTTAGTAAAAAAAGTTTAATAAAAAAAGTTTAGTAAAAAAAGTTTAGTAAAAAAAGTAAAAAAAACGCAAGCAAGAGTGGGTCTAATATATGGGGAGATCTTGTATGACTTTTTACGGCATATATTATTAAAAATTAGACATGTTTCAAGATCAAAGTTTTTTTTAGCGTTAGTTTCAAAGTTAAAATTTAAGTGATTTTCAACGACAAGTACATTTTTTAAGTAGATCTAATAAAAAGATAAATGCTATATTTTTATTATCCTTAAAAATGTATAAAGACTAATTTTTGAATGATTATCTAGCTAACGTTATTAATTAATTAATTAAGTTAAAATAAAGTCATGTGATAAAAGGCTAACCTAAAGCCCGATTTACAAATTATATACTGTATATCGATATACCGGTAATTGATTAGCCAATATCAACATCCGATGTTTTAATTTCTTCAAATTTGTAGATGATGGATAATTTGTTAGTTATGTCACCCAAAAAAAAAAATTTTTTTTTTCAAACTTAAAGTATTAGATATTCACGACGACTATCATGTAAATTTATTTTAGTTTAAAACTTTAATTATTTTAAATTAGCTTAAATTATCTTGGCAAAAATTTTACTACATTTGATAGTTAAAATGATACAACCCTAATATACTTTTAACCTAACTAATTCAAGTATTTAAAATATAACCGCATTCGATACCTAATATGATACAACCTGATAAACTTTAAGGATAAACATGTAAATCTAAATTCTTAGATTTTAGCATTAAACTTTAACAAATTTTTTTAAAAAAAAGATCTAACCACATTTGATAATTAGTATATATAACGTAAAAATTTTTTAAAGGTCGATATTAGTTAAAAAAAATTTTTTAGCAAATTATATGTGGTTAGTTAAATGATAAATTATCGCGTGATGGTATCGTCCTCCGGAATTACCTGAAATGATACTTTTGAATAACGATATAAAAATATTTATCCTGGAATATTACTCGGATATCACCTGGATTTAATCATGAAATATTATCCGGAATGTGTATTACCTAGAACCGGAATAATAATATACCAATACATTAGTATATATATTATCATTATATATTATTTTATATTAATATATATATATATATATATATATATGTGATATATATTAATATATACAATACACAAGGATTAAAAAAAAATTACATAATCCGAGATAGTTAACACTTTTTAGAATATATGAACTTAAATGTTTATAAGGTTTTATTTAAAATGTATGCTCATTCCTAAAATAATATACTCTAAAAAAGAATGCTAGGGACTCTAAATTTTATTTTATTTTACTTAATATAGAAAATTAAAATAATAAAGATAATGTTTAGACGTACACGTACGTACAATATTGATACCTAGAATAAATAATGAATATATTTACTTCGAACACATTAATTAAAACAGTCTTCTAAAATTCTCTAAAAGTTGCATACTCTCCCTAAAATGCAAAATATTTCAAGAAGTTACCTACGTACTTACAGTATATACTGTATGTACGCTACTTGATGTACAGTACGTATCTGAAGGTGCTGTAGTATTTGGTATGTATGTACATAGAATTTAAGGAATAAGCCTATAAAAAGATATATTATAAAGATAATATAAAGATAGTAATAATTAACGCACATTATTAAATTCGTCAAACAACTACTTATAAAAATTAATCACGACACAACATAACGATAAGTCTTTTTTTTTTTTCACGGTTTACGAATTGAAGCCTGCATTATCGACAACCAAATATAGCGATAGGTATTTTTATCAAATAAAATTACCAAGGAATGATACTTGTAAATCTGTGTGGCAAAAATATAAGTGACAATATTGATATACAGTAATTGTAATTTTTTTTTTTAAAAAAAAAAACCATATACTGTATACAATGCGTATCTGGTATGTACATAAGTATGTACTGTAAGTATCTAAATGAACATGATTAACCAGACATTAATTATTTCAGTAACACAACCTTGTTATAGTAATGTAGGTATTATTTTTTTTTATTCTAAATGTGTTTAAATGTGTCTAAATGTATCTAAATGTGAGAGTGATTTATTTTAGTGCATTAGCTGATAAATAATTTATTACTGTATATGCCATAAGAGAATATGGCGACAATAAAAGTTATGTCATGTTTAATGCTATACAAATCGTTCATACAGAAAAAATAATAGAGAATTTGCAAACACTTTTTTTTTTTGCACGAATAAATTATATTACATGTTAATAAAAGCAGGTAGTCGCATCTTATTGATTACACTCATTAGTTACTTTGCATTTTATTTTACTGTAAATAACGTTAACATTAATATGATTAATATGTTAACGATAACGTTTGAAACGTTTAAAACGTCTAAAACGTCTAAAAATATCTAATACTGTACAATACTGTAATAATATAATGCGTTGTTAAAAATAAAGATAAAAACATGGTATTGATCATGGAATATTATTTTCTTTAAGTAACATACACGTCATAATTAAGCCGTAAATACATGGATCTAATAATGTATCTAAGTTAAAGAAGAGAAAAAAAAACAAAGATTCATAAAGTTCATAACTAGCCTTAATTTCTTTTGAATAATTATAATAAAAAAATATAAAGTGTTAACTAATAAAAGAAAAAAAAGGATAAAAATAAGAAAAAAAAACTACAATTGATATAATTTTTGAGCATAAAATACATGATGAACAAGACAAGTTTTATAAGTCTCATATTCAATTTCAACTCTTGATAAAAAATCTTCAATGTTTTTTCTTCTTCCTCTTCTTATAAAATCTTTAATCTTTCCATCAATACCTTCACCATTTAATTTTATTTGATTACCAAATAATAATAAAAAAACTTTAAAAAGTTCTCGAAAATATTGTGAACTTAATTCCCCAATTTTCCCACCCCATTTTCCAATTTTCATTATTCGAGATTCGTGAGTTATGTCAGATAGATTAGGTAATGACCGGAGATTTTGATAATGTTTAGTAGCTATGTTGATGCATACCTTGCGTGAGATTAGGTGATCACGAACTAAATAAATAATAAATTAATAGAGAGTTAATTAATAATAAATTAATAGAGTTAATTAATAAAAAGTTTTTTTTAAAAAAAATAAAATTTTTCGTTATTTAAATGTATATTAAAAACTTACTAGCTCTATTGACAATTTTAGTCCAAGGACCATCACTAATTGGTTCACCATCTGAATCCATTACTTCGATCCACCCATTAACTTTAAGAACTCTAACACATTCATTTAAAAGTTCAGGCCATTTATCATCAGGTATATCAATTGCCATAAGTCTAACGCTCACAAAATCGAAAGTAAGATCATCATATGGAAGACCATTTAATACATCGTAATGTTTTAATTCAACATTTGAATTTTTGACGGTTGGAAAATCATAGGGAAACATGTCAATACCAGTAAAACTTGGAGTTTTATATGTTGATGCCATATCACAACACCATATTCCAAGACCAGAACTAAAGAAAAATATATGATGAGTTTGATCGTGTAAAAAATTATTCTATAAATTTTATAAAAAGATATAAAAGATATATATATATTTAATATATAAATATCTATCTATATTTTTATATTTATATTATAAAATAAAATAAAATAAAAACATACCCTATTTCTAAAACTCTTGCTTCATTATTTAGTAAGTCATTAATAGGTGCAAGAAAATTCCCTTCCAAAACTTCTCGTACTAAACAATGTCTTAAATTTATTTTATCATCCACTGGCATTAAATTTAGATCATCGAATTGTGTGGAAGACACATTTAAAAACATATCCGTGAAATTACTTCCTGTTGGTTTCGGTCTAGATTGTCCTGCTCCCATTTTCACTACCAATATTACCGTCAAAAGTTTTTTTTTTTTTGAAATTTGTTATTAATAATACAGCGCTAACTATGATTAAATTATAGATTAGACTGTATACTAGACTTTAAAAAATTTGTAGATTAAAGATTGTAAAACTAAACTGTATATTAAGCTTGTATATTAAACTTGTAAATTCGTAGACTAAATAAAAACTAAAAAAACTTGACTAAAGCAAGATCAGCGAAAAAAAAAAAAATTAAATGATGCTTTCACTATTATACAGTAAGTAATCAGGAAACTACAAAGTACATAACGGGTTTAAAGTTTATTTCAAATAACGATAATAGTTCCGTTTAAAAAAAAAAAAAAAGCGCGAAATCGCGGTATAAAAAAAATTCAATTTAAAGAATGTTTTTTTTTTTTTAGTTATTTAACGTAAACTATTTTTATGATGTGAAATTTTTATTATCCCGTTATGTTCGGATATAATAATTCTTTCAAATTAAGGAAAAAAAAAAACCCCCCCCGTAATTATTTTTTTTCCAGCGAGTTTTTTTTTTAAAAAAAAATTTCTCTAGCTCGCAATTATTTTTTTTTTTTTACGAAAGCGGTTTCATCCCGTCTTTATAATAGTTTGTTACAATAGATCACATTATCACATTATCACATTTTTCATACACATGCCCTTACGTAATAATAATTATATGAAAGGCATAGCTTACAATTTCAATATGTAACACACATATATACAAACATATATATAACATTTATGAATAACCTTATGATAATTATACATAATAAAGTTTAACACAAAAAATTACATTTTTTCTTTACTGTGGCGTGATTTAAAAAACTGTTATCATTCGATATGATATGTACATTGACATATATTTTTTACATTAACTGTTAGATATATTATATATACATATCTATATTATATTTATATTAATATATATTATTATTATTATTATTATTATTATTATTATTATTATTATACAGCATTATATGTATTCGATATATATATCGATATTATATTCGATATAGATTAGTTTGAATGTATGAAGATCAAACATCATAACATTGTATGGAAGATCGATTCATCATTCATCTGAAAAAAAAAAAAAAAAAAAATGATTTGCTATAAATGATATAAAAGAGTGTAAGTGATTAATATGAACAAAGAAAATGTCAAAGTGACGTGTGAAATAAAAACTAATTTGTAAATTCATCGTCAGGGGTTCTATTTTTTTTTAATGAATGTAAGTACATATGTACAGTACATATAGTACATACTGTAAATGACATATCGTACAGTACGTAAGTACCTACTTACTGTACGCATTGTATGTAGTGTATGTGCTTCATGTACTATATATACTGTATTTACTTACTGTATTTACTGTAGGTAGGTTCATTATTAACCCAAAATTACGTGTAAAGATCGCGTTAGAAATTGATTTATTCTCTTATCAAAATAAAACGCGATAAAAAATGTACAGTAGAAAATAATTATGTAAATGTTAATAAATGAATCTTAAAAAAATTTATTATTATTATTATTATTATTACTATTACTTATTTATCAAAATTTTATTAATTTTAGAAACAACGCGTTTGCGTGTCAGTGGACAATTTGATTATTATCTTTTTTGGGGATTATCATAATTAACATCTGTGCATTACGTATTACCGTTACGCATTATGCATTACTGCATTAAGATGGGAAACCAACAAAGAAAATCGGCGTGAACATCACTTTTTAGTAATGAATTTTGGTCCGAAAATATATAATAATAATAATAATAATAATAATAATAATAATAATAAAATAAATGAAGTTAGGAAATATTTGTTTCAAAAATAAATAAAAAATAAATAAAAAAAAAGTTGGGAATGCCATCACAATATTATTTCAAAATATTTTTTTATTATAAATTACCGTTTAACTTCAATTTTCGTCGATCTAAAGATGAACCAATTGGAGTAATTACCTATTTATTATGCATTTTTGTTTAGCCGGTGCATATGTCTTTAAATTTATGGAAGTTTTCCGCGGAAATTATCACTTGGTGTTTATCATTGGATTACAAATATGTCGCTTCAACATTACATCTGCAATATGTTTTCCAATCCCTTCATTACTTAATATAGAAATCCGTATTATTTGTTCATGTTTTTTAAGTATGCACTTTACGAAAAGTATGTACCTACTGTACTTATGTATTTTTTGTAAGTACCTAAAACCAGGGCTTAAAACATTATAGTAATATTATGTCTGTCATTTACTGTGTTTACTGTATTTCAGTATTTATTGTATTTACTGTATTTCAGTATTTATTGTATTACTGTGTATTATGATACTGTGCAATGCTTATTATTTTAATCTTTAGTTCTTTAAAAATCATATTATAGATCACATTTACATTTTTCGAATTTTCGGCTAACTATATTACCATGGATATAAGCCCTGCCTAGAACTTTTTTTTTTTTTTTCACAATATAAATTATCTAACTAATTTTGTTAATGCAAAACAACAATAAACATGCGAGAATCAATATCTGTAACAATAAGATCAACTAATCCCAACCATTTTTATTATGATTTTAGTAGATGGTTTTTATTTATTTTTTTTTTTTTAGAGATTTTTATTTAAAATTTTAAAATATTACATAAACTATAAACTAAAGTTCTTTACATAAAGCTAACGTTTTTTGTTTAGGTTTTTTACTTAGATTTTAAATGGACTTGTTTATTTATTATGTTCTTATTATGCCAGGGCTAAAACGGTCTATTCAAAAAATTGACTTTTTAGAAAATTCCATGTGACTTCAATTCTGAAGCATCAAGAAAAACATTTGAAACAATACATCCATATCTTATATGTACAATGTACTGTACATACATACGTACGTACATACATTAATGATAATATTGTAACTAGGTAATAATAACTTTACCTTTTAGTATATATTGTACGTATAAAAAAGTTAAAATATAACTTACGTATGTACGTATGTATGTACGTACATACATACCTACATTTCGTAGTATATTCTGCGATTGTTGTTATAAATAGTTCTTAATTAAAAAAAGAAATTTGCTTGCGTAACTTGATATATATTATATGCATATTCGCATAATCTTTGAATATATAATTTTTAATTTATTGAATGATTTTATTATCAAATTTATCAAATTAATCTTTGATAAATTTTCAATATGTCAAATTCTATTTACAGTATAGAATTTCAAGATCACTAAATATTTTTTTTTTTGTCATTTTGTGTATATTCTTCGCAGATCGTAATTCCATGTGAGAATTAAAAATTTAAAATATTTACATTCCACAAAAAAAAAAAAAATTATTTTTTTTTGCTCGAATACTTGATTGGAACGATCATCGATCAATTTTCTAAACTAATCGAGTATTCGAATATTTGCAAAAAAAAAAAAAGAAATTTTTTTTGTAATTTTCAACCATTTAACCATTTTGAAAGCAGTGACAATCATAAATGATTATTATTGCGCTTTTGACTCACTGTAGATCATGTTATGATCATGATTTCAAGAATTTTATAGATTTTCAATAATAGTTTATACAATATTATATATATACGGTATTATTATATTTTTATTTTATCTTAATAACAAAAATTATATGGATATTTTTAACTCACACCAGTGGTTATCGATAACCAGTATGCTATATCTCGAAAATGTACTAATATAGAGGACCCTTGAAAACCTCCCGAGAACTGAATTCGGGATCTTATATCCAATCTACATTATCGTTATGTAAATTCTGAAATTGTAGTGTTCCGCACGGATCGAATCTGATGAATCTTAAGATTCGGTTTCGATCCGAAAACCGAATCGAATCTAAGTCAGGATCCGAAATCGTATCACAGATTTGTGAGAGATCTTTATAATAATACCTTGATATTAATGATATTAATGCTCAGCACAATCAAAAAAATTTTGACGGTCAAATACTTGTGATTAAGTCGGACATCAAACAAGTGCAGGTTAACGAATACTACATATATACGTATGTATGTATATATATAGTATTGGTTAATCTTGATGTCCAACTTAATCACAAGTATTTGACTGTCAAATTTTTTTTGATTGTGTCGAGCACTACTTGATATATAAAAAAAAAAGGAATACGATATACAGTAATAATATTATTATATAGGTATGTTAGATTTGAGATGCCGTGAACGAAGTCGCGAGGAATCCATTTGTCACGAGATCATGACCCTGATCCATGACGCCAAATGAGAAATTGACAAATATGATGATGAATATTGATTTGATAGAGTGAGTGATGTAAGATTCCATATTCTGTAGTTGTGCTTTTTGTGTCTGTATAATCGAGTGACAAATATTAAATTAAGCTTTTGGTAGAATTTTTATGTTAGCGGATTTCGGTAGTACAGCAATAAATACTATTCAAACGAATCCATATTTGGATTTGAATTAGCAGGGTTCAATGAATTATGGATTCGAAATCGATTCGCAGATTTAATCTAATTCTGAATCGAATTCGAATCTCTAATCCATTTAGTGGAACACTACTAAATTGTAATAGAAAATTACCCGTATGCCACTGCTTACAGTATCCCCCCAAATATAGTACCAGGTTTACCCATGGGAATCCTTGAATCAGACTCCGGGTACTGTAATCAGCGGAATACGGTATCATAGTTAATAATAATCACCAGTGAGTTATAATAATTCTAATTTAATTGTTTTATTATATTTGCTAATACCGTATATATATATATGGAACGTCATGATATTTACTATTTCTACCATGCTTTTCACATTACTTTCAGCTACATATACACAATAAACATATTGTCATGATAAATTACATCAAATGGTGGAAATAGGTGTTCCTTATATATATATATATATACCGTATATATTTAAAATTTGGTAATATACAGTATATCTACAGTAGTTTTTTTAACATAGATTATCAAGGATTTGATTAGATTTTAAAGTTAGA